TCCTCTTGTCATAGTGAATGTCTTGTTAATCTATAAAATGTCATGCTTATTCAAATTTCCTGAAGCCTTACACATATTATAGACCCTCCTGACATGTTCTGAGCCTGTATGAGCAGTTGTTAGAGCGTGTACTTATCCATCCATATTTATTTTTTGGTTCAATTGTCACTCTAAGGCAAGAGGCCAATCTTTCCCTTAATTTTGTATCTCCATTATCTACAGATTATATTAATGATACAGTATAAATAAAGGATTTAGATGAAATAGCTTATTATTCAAGCCTAGTTTTACTACTAGATATAGAAACTCAGACTGTTCCTTAAATCATCTGAGTTCCAACTGAACTTGATGCTAAAGCACTAAGCTCGGAAGGATGACAGCTCCTCAGTGCATTTATTTGATTGTGTATCTTGGTCTCTGACTCTAGTTCCCATTCCTTGAGGTCAGGAGGCTCTTCTATTCATCTCTGCCTGTCTAGTGTGCAGAGAAAAAGAAGTGCCTTCCGCTTTGCCCAAGATTACCAATTTCCCTAATCTGCTACTTATTCTCCAAAGATAAATGACATATAACACCACAAAGTAGACTAAAATCCAAATTTAAAGCTGTCTATTATGATTTAAAAATATATTCAATTATTTGTGGGTAGTTTGCTTATTAAGAAGGAAAAGTCTTCAGGTTAGATGTAAAAGCAGTATATCAATTTCTAGAGTTTCTAAATTTGTATGTGCCTATTGTTCTCATAAATATTCTAACATTCTACACTGATACGTACATCTCCAATGTGATGGTACATAAAGAATAAGGACATTTCTTTAAAAGATTGAGCCCCATTCTTTCTTTCAGCCTTGGTATAACATGTTGCACAAATTGTCATTCTGGCTAGTACTTATCATCTTCAAAACTGGTATGTGACTGTGTAAACTAAAAAAAAAAAGAAACAAAACAAAACAGTAAAATCTTGCAAACTTGAAGGGTCATTTAGAAGCATTATTAAAAACAGAACAAAGATAGTGCTCTTGGAAAACGAATTATATTCAAATCCAAATATTATAAAACATTTGTTAGGAGGCTGCTGGTATAACTAAGTAATTCCAATCTTGTCAACTTTTGTTTAATTTAAAGATATTTCTGAGCCAAAGAGGTTTTGTCTGATGTTAAAAGACTAATATTGGAAAGCATGTATTAGGTTTCCAAATAGAATGAAAAAATCCAGCCAGAGGAAAGGAGGGGAAAATATCTCCACTATTTCAGTTATAAAATGGAGTCCAATACATCAATGCCATGTACAGAGCAGCATGCCGAGGGGCAGGGTTAACACCCCCTTACTACTGTCAGATTAGCTATCAGCTTCACACCGCACTCTCTGAAACAGACCAAGATCATGAGACGACAGATTGCTGTTTCAGGGGCTTGGAGTTTTCCAGTTGTCATTTACAAAAGTCTCCAAGTCCAATCACAGTTAATTACAGTTTAAAACTCACTGTGTTTCTGTAAGCTTCCAGAAGGTTTCATTGGCATTTACAAACCTGCCTCAGCAAATAAGAAACAAGTCACATAATAGATAAAAAGGAGAGCAGACAAGGTTGGTTAGATGAGAAACACTAACCTTCCAGAACCACGTTACTCCCCATAGAAGCCTGGTCTATTGATCACCAGAATGGAATCCCAGAAAGAAAAGGCAGAACTGGCCCATGGAGGGACTGAAACATGTGCCACAGCCGGAATCTAGGCTATGTGCTGCATGACAGACTCTACTGTTGGCTTTAGACTTAAACCTTCCTTACTAAAGCTGCATTAGCAGATGAAGCGTCACCTCGGGACTTACTCCATCAATGTTCATGGAGCTAGTGATTGGAAATTGGACTACTGACCTGGTAATCTCTTGCTGTCATTGCGTGACAGCAGAAATCCCAAACAGCTACAAAAGAAACAAAAAGCAGA